GCCTCCAGGCTGACTCAACTGTCAGGGTTAATACGCTGTGGCTTTTTACACCTGTGAAGTGTCATCTCTCACGTGCTGTGGAAACAGTTCACCTGCTTCTCTTTGGCTTACAGCCGGAAACCATAGGAGTGTTTTTGAGGGGAAGTGATGCCTGCCTGTCATCCATCACTGATCCTGTGCTTCTAGTCCTAGGCAGCTAGAAAGCCCCGCTTCCTTCAGAACTTACACCTGCTTGCCCTGCTGCCCACCGCCCCCTCCCCACGCCGTCAGTGACACACTCACCAGGTGCAGTTCTGTTCCTGGAGGGAACCTGGGCAGGTGATGGCCCAGCCACCTCTCATCTGGCTGCGGCTCCTTCTACTCAGATTTGCCTGGCAGGCCGGGTTGCCTTTGCATCCCTCGGGACATATACTCTTGTTGATTCTGACACGTTGGTAGAAGAGATAGCTACTGCATCTGATCCCTGAGAATTATCCAGGATTGTATACCTGCCAGGAAAATAAAGAGCAACAATACAAGCTGCAGACGGAGCTGCAGCCCAGATGAGGAGAGTACAACCTCCGTGCTCTGAAAGCAGTGGCCCTCTCCCTCAGCATCACACATCACACTGGGGAGATCATTCAACCCTCAGACTCGGCAAGCTGCTAGCTGGACTGATGTTTTGTAAGATTGGGGGCATGGTCCTAAAATGCTCTTCAAGGCCAGGCATGGTAGCACACACTTTAATCCCAGCATTCTGCACTTGGGAGACTGAGGCAGGAGGATCTCTGAGTTCCCAGTTAACCTAGGCTACATACGAACTCTCCCAGGCTAGCCAAGGTTACATAGCGAGATCCTATCTCAAAACTAGAAGCAAACAACAAAACAGTCTCTTTAAAACAGGAGGCTAATTTTTCTGATACTTGTCTGTATTTAGGTTTACTCTGGATAGATCTATTTTTTTTCATGTTCATTAATTAACTTATTACTGTGTGTGTGCGTGTGCGTGTGCGTGTGTGTGTGTGTGTGTGTGCGCGCGCGCATGCACATAGGCCCTAAGTTTGAGTGGGGAGTTCAGGGGACAACTTGCAAAGGTCAGTTCTCCTTTCATTACATGAGTTCTGGGAATTATGCTCAGGTCATGAGGTCAGCAGCCGGTGTCCTTACCTGCTGAGCCATCTTGCTGGCCTGACATAAGTGGAGGGACTTGGGTCGTCAATTCCTTGTGTACCTGGGGCTGCGGCTCAGTGGTAGAGTGTTCATCTAGCTTCCATCGGGTGCAGGCTTCTACCCAGCCACGGAACAGCACCGAAGATTTGACCCCACCTATGTTTCTAGATTCCAAAGCTGGATGGCAGGGTACGTGAGTGGGTGGTGTCCTCACCTACTGGTGGAGCAGCCTGAAGCGCAAGTGTGTTTTGTGGAACAGCTGTCGTAACTGCTATAGAAAGAGGTCTTGGTGGGGGAGCTAGCAGAGTCTCTATGAACTTCAGGCCTACTACCCCTGAGGAGGGGGAACAGGTACCGCCTGTGCCTGTGTGCAGGACTTGCGGGACTCGGATCCTGTCTGCTGAGCCTGTGCCTGTGTGCGGGCTTGGATCCTGTCTGCTGAGCCTGTGTCTGTGTGCGGGGCTCAGATCCCCTCTGCTGAGGTACCGCCTATGGCTGTGTGCAGGGCTCGGATCCCATCTGCTGAGCCTGTGCCTGTGTGTGGGGCTCAGATCCCGTCTGCTAAGGCTCTGCTTCTATCTAGTAGGAATCTTGAAAGAGCAGTCAGACATGGTGCACACAACATAACGGTGGAGGCTAACCTGGGCTACAAGTGAGACCTTTCCTCAAGATTTAAAAAGATGTGAGCATGGTAGTTCTTGCCTTATTATTCTAGCACTTGGAAGGCTGAGGCAGGAGAATTACTGTGAGTTCCAGGCCAGCTTAAATTATGTAGTTCTTGACTACCGTGGGCTAGAGTGAGAGCCTGTCTCGGGATGAAAGGAAAGGAAACGAAAGGTGTTAATAACAAAACATGGATCAATTCCACAAGCCATCTCTGCTGCCTGCGCATCAGCCATGCCCTTCCTTCCCATCACAGGTAGCCTAGATCTTCCTCCATGGAGAAGAGCTGGCTGCTGCCATGGTTGGTGCTGCCTTCATTTGTCTTATTTGTCCCTTAGGATGAATCTCTCCCCCACATCCCAAGGTCAGGTGTAAAGATACCCTACCAAGACCAGAATAGTCCTGTGGGACAGTCCTACGTAACTGAGGTCCGAGCGGCTGACGTCAGTGAGTGAATGGCTCTTGTGAGGTGTTCAGAGGGAGAGGGTGCTTCCTTGTGTTTGTTTTTGCTCTTGAGGCAGGTTTTGCTCGGTCTGCATTGGCCAGAAACTGTGTCTCAGACTGGCCATGAACTCATGGTGGTTCTGCCTCCCTCTCCTTAGTGCTGGGATTATAGGCTTAAGACAACTCATTTTTAAAAAAGGGGGTTATTATTTATGCATGTGTGTGCCTGCATGAGTTTATGTGCACCACTTGTATGTAGGTGCCCACAGGTCAGAAGAAAGTGTCAGGTGCCCTGGAATTGAAGTTACAGGTGATGAGCCACCTTATGGGTGTTGGGAACTGAGCCTGGGTCTTTAGCAGGAGCAGTGAGCACCCTTAACCTCTGAGCCATTTCTCCAGCCTCAAATTCCTAACAGTCGGTGACTTAGTTATCAAAGTCTATCAGTGTTGGGTATGTGTATGTACAGTGTCAGGCCACAGCCATGATTCTAGGCAAAGAATGTTGCTGCCATCGCCATGGAAGAAAGAGCAGGGGTGCAGGGATGGGCAAAGAAGGTCACCCTGAGTTCCCAGGAGGATAGCCACAAATTTGAGGCTAAGCCTGGTCTACACAGAGAGTCTAAGGGTAGCCAGAGCTCCTTAGTGAGACCCTGGTTAAAGAGAGAAACGCTGAACAGGTTTTAAGGCTTAGCTCTTTTCCAGTTCTGGGCTCTTTCTCTACACCTCCTGAATGCAGAGTGGTCAGAAGAACACTGCCCTGACCCCTGGTGGTGATAGTCACCCCTGGTGGATCCTGGGGTCCGCTGCTCAGGATACTAAGCCACCTGTGCCCATTGGGTTGCCACCTTGACACAAGCCTGGAGGAGGACACCTCATTTGAGAAGATGCCACTGTAAACTGGCCCGTAGGCAAGCCTGTGTGGCGTTGTCTTGATTGATGATTACTTTGGAAGGGCCCAGTTCACTGGGGTCTTGTGGCCCCCCCTGCAGGTGGTCCTGGGTGTCAGAAGAAAGTAGTCTGAGCATCAGTGAGCAGGTTCCTCCTCCACCACCTCTGCTTCAGTTCCTGCCTTTAGGGGTCATGCCCTAACTTCCCTCAGGGTGTACAAGTTGCACTCTCCGTGCTGTTACCACAGCGATAGAACCCCTAAGGCATGACAGTCTTCTTCTTTGACTGCAAACTGCATCCTCATGAAATTCGAGTTCAGTCTTTTTTTACTTGACAAGTTTCTGTGTCAAGCTTTTCCATTGTGGAAAAACATTGGCAGCCTCTCCAGTGGTGTTCAAAACAAAAACAAAACAAAAAACAAAGCAGGGAAGTCGGGTGCCCTTGGAAAGAAACTTGAGCTGAAATCCCAGCAGGGAGGTAGGGTCCTGCCTCCTGCACTCTGCTGCCCTCAGGAGGGCTATTTACGCCAGAGTGTGCCTCCACACCCCTTGGGCCTTCCTTCCCACCTCACTCAGTTCAGAAAGATCCCTTTCCACTCCCTCTCCAAGGAAAAGGCCTCCCTCCCCCACGAAGGGATTCTGGCCCAGGACTTCCCAAGGGACAACTTGCCCAGAGACTGTTCCTCCCCACCTCGCTGCTGCTGTCCTGGTGGCTGAGAACCACAGCCCTCCACTTCAGTGGTTGCTTCCCCTCCCTCGGGTCGTTCCTCTGAAGGGCACCAAACTCAGGCTCTGTGAGTCCTCAGGGAAGCCCTGTAAAGGGAGCTGACCTGACCTGAAAGGTGGATTTGCAGTCAGTCATTCCTCACCTCTGTGGGTGCAGGAGACTGAGGTCACACACTCACACGTCCTGTGTGCTGGGAGGTGCCCAAGACCTTGGGTCGTGTTCAAGGAGAGGGCCCTGTTTATTAGCTTTTTAACAGAGGATGGCAATGACACCTCTTCCCAGATGTTATAGCCAGACTGTCTCCATACTGTGTGGTGGCCCTGAGGAACAGAGCAGCCAACTGAGGGTCTCTGTCCTGGGGTTAGACCTCCACCCCTGAGGAGGACTGAGTGACAGAGAGGTGGAGCCTAATCAAGGGGACCTGGAGACGCTGGAGCAAAAGCCTCAGTTCAGGTGGGAGAGCTTTGCTCTCTGTCGCTGTTCCTCTTCCCACCGTGTGCTAGGCACTGTGCTCAGGGCCTAGGACCCCACTCTCAGGAGACATACTAGTGTGGTGGCAGGTGGCTTTTCTGAGGAGGTGACTTGCTTGGTTACAGTTCTTGAGCATGGACACTAACAAGTATCTGTTCCCATCTCCAGGACACCGTTAGATACTTGGACACAGTTCTGCCCTGATGTGTCTAGAGTCAACCCTTATACTTAGAAGTTTCTGGAAAGAGTATCGGAAGTAAGCAGATACTTATGCTCTCAGCTAGGGCCTGTTGTTATGGTGTACTGTTGGTACAGAGCAGCGTGGTAGGAGAGTGACCACTGTCCCAGCAACACAGCACAGCAACTTCAGGTGGTCCTACACTCAGGGTCTTCTCTCAGGCCCGCTACAGAGCCCAGCACTGACCAGTGTGGGCAGTACTGGCACCATGAGCTGCCCAATCAGTTACCTATGTCGGAACCTTCCAGAGTGGGGCACCCACCAGGCTATGTTGCTCTGGGCCAAGACAGAACAGCTTATCTGAGGCGCAGACAGAGATGCAGCAGGAACCTAGCAAGGGCTGGAGGCCAGCGCTGAGCGAAGAGCAGGCCTCTTGATATCTCCCCTCCCGTGGAAACTGACCTTGCTTTCTGCCCTCCAGTGTGGGGCTGCCTTCCAGGAGGATGACATCATTGTGCTCAATGGCACCAAGGAGGATGTGGAGTTGCTGAAGAAGAGGATGGAGGAGAGGCGGCTGCGGGCCAAGCTGGAGAAGGTAACGAGGGGGCTTCACTTCTGCTCCAGGGTCCACTGCAAGCTATTCTGCTGCCTTAGCAGATGCTGGGGCTGGGCGGGGCGGGGGGGGGTATATAGCTGAGTTTTGTCAGCCCAGGAGGTCTGGTCTCTAGAAACAGATTCAGGGCTTGGCTACATTAGCCTTCATCTGCTCAGGGCATGATGGTGTAGGGAGATATTAAATGACACCTGTCCATCAAGCACTTGCACTGAGTGTAACATTAGTGAACCCTCAGGACAAGGCTGTACTGATTTAAAGGAGCACACATGGACAGCAGGTGCATCTCAGTAGTAGAGTCTGAAGCCCTAGGTTCTGTCCTCAGTACAAAGAAATAAATAGGGGGACTCATACTCTGTTTTCATAATCATAAAGGCAAGAGTAGAAGTCAGCATCTTCCCAGGAACTCTGCCTGCAGTGTAGCCTAGCAGGCTTGGGGGAGGAGGTGCTGGATTTTTTGTTGTTGTTGTTTAAGTTGGCATGCAAAGCAATTGAATTCATTGGGACTGTAGGGTTTTTTGGGTTTTTTTGGTTTTTTTTTTGTTGTTGTTGTTGTTGTTGTTTTTTATAGATTAGGCTCAAGGAAAACTTGGGCCTACCCTTTGTTTTTACTAAGGTGGATCCGGATGTGGCACACCTGTAATTTTATGGCTCCTAAGGTAGAGTCAGGAGAGAAAGTTGGAGGCCAGTTTGGAGACCCAGGGGCCAGAGTGTGGCTCAGTGGTAGAACACCTTCACAGAGGCATGGGTTTGACCCCAGCACTGAAACAAGCAAAAGCTACAAAGTCAAATGCTAGAAGTGTTGTAACTATAGCAGTAAGGAGAGTGGGAACATGGTGGGGAGGGGAGCCGGCATTAAATTGGCCTACAGCTGCCAGTGTCATCCATGGGGCTAGGACTGCAGGGACGGAAGGCAGTGTCGTCCATGGGGCTAGGGCTGCAGGGATAGAAGGCAGTGTCATCCACAGGGTTAGGACTGCAAGGACGGAAGGCAGTGTCGTCAACGGGGCTAGAGATGCAGGGACGGAAGGCAGTGTCGTCCACAGGGCTAGGACTGCAGGGACGGAAGGCAGTGTCATCCACAGTGCTAGGACTGCAGGGACGGAAGGCAGTGTCGTCCACAGGGCTAGGACTGCAGGGACGGAAGGCAGTGTCGTCCACAGGGCTAGGACTGCAGGGACGGAAGGCAGTGTCATCCACAGTGCTAGGACTGCAGGGACGGAAGGCAGTGTCATCCACGGGGCTAGAGCTGCAGGGACGGAAGGCAGTGTCATCCACGGGGCTAGAGCTGCAGGGACGGAAGGCAGTGTCGTCCACAGGGCTAGGGCTGTGGGGACGGAAAGCAGTGTTGTCCACGGGGCTAGAGCTGCGGGGACAGAAGGGACTGCAGAACTTTGCTTGTGCATTTTAGTTGTAGAAGAAAGAACAGAATCACATCACTCACATGTGATGATACTTCACGGTTGTGAGGCTTAGAAGGCTGATGGTCACACATAGGGCACAGACTCGGGAGAAGCCCAATCCATTCTCATTTCCTCCTTTATCATCTTAGAGAGTGGTGCATGTAATGTTCCATAACACTAGGCATTGTGGGCAACTCTGAAATTAGATGCCACAGAAATGCTCTGTGGAACTGTTTACAAGATGGTAGCAGCCTTCCTGAGAATACTGTAGGTCTCTGGGTCATTTAAGCTGTGTATGGAGGTTAAAAACAAACATTTGTGTCTGTGTGTGTGTGTGTGTGTGTGTGTGTGTGTGTGTGAATTCTAAATTACTAAATTTTTAAATTTAGTAAATTACTTTTCTAAATTACTCTGCATTTGCCATCATAGGAGCATAAAAAAGCCTAGAGTATCAGACAAGAGATAACAGCATAAGGACAGACTTGCTTGATTTTTGCTGTCCTTGATCTGTTTGGGTTTTTTTTGTTGTTTTTTTTTTTGTTTTGTTTTGTTTTCCTTTCTTTAAACGCAGAGAGGGGTGTTGTGTGCTAAAGACAGCGGCTAGAGAGCTGCAGGGAGCCCTGGGTGACTGTCCTGTCAGGGCTTCCTGCCAAGTCCTGCAAAGCCCAGTGGGACTAGATCCCCTCTGCAGCCTCCTCAGCAGAGCCTCTGCGAACGCACTTAGATACTGCTACCAAGATACAAAATATTTCCCAAATATTCTTACCTGCAGACAGGGCTCAGCGTTTCTGCATGCCTCTGGCTTTGAAACAGCTCAGCCAAAATGGAGGGCTAAGAACTGGGCATCTGCCTCTGGTTCTGTTTGGTGTGCTTGGGGTGTGTAGACACTTAGTGTGTGCACACACTCGGAAGCAGGAGCCCAATGTCAGGTGTCTCCCTCTGTCACTCTGCTCTGTGACCTTAACAGCATCTCTCACTAAGCCAGAAGACCACCGTTTCACCTGGGCTGGCTGACTAGCAGATTCTCAGGATCCCAGTCTCTACCCGCCAGTGCTGATTTATAGGCCGTGTGCAGTCGTGCCCAGCTTTCCGCGTGGTGCTTCTGCGCTGAGGTGTCAGCCCTCACACGGTTGCTTTCCGCGTGGTGCTTCTGAGCTGAGGTGTCAGCCCTCACACTTTCCTCGTGGTGCTTCTGCTTTGAATCATATTGTGTATATGTCAGACATTGAAGGCCACCGCCAAGAAAGATCTTTGGTTCAGCGTATGTAAGAAATGAGGGCCTTCCAAAATAATTATTTTGTTTTACTTTTTATTTTAGAGACAGCGTCTCATGATGCCCAGGCTGGCCTTGGACTTGCTGGTCTTAAACACGTGATTTTCTTATCTCCTCCTCCCCAGTGGCTGAGACAGCAGGTGTACTGCCTGGCTTGGCTGTGCCTCTTCGGAGCCCTTTTTGAGTTTTTATGGAAATGACATGTTAAAGAAAATTATGAACAGTCCTAGTCATTTGTGCAATTGAGTGTCATTGCACAATGGTCAGCCTTTTGAGGATTGGCCAATAACTATTGTACTAATCCAGCATCTAAAAATCTAACGAGAGTAATCTAGTTTAAATCAGCTAACATTCCTCTGTATGAGCTCCCAAGCTGTAGTAATAAAGGCGGCGGGGCTGCGTCCCCAACACCCCAGCCGCCTGCCCGGCTAGCTTATGCCCCGAAATAATTACATGGACACTGTATTCTTTTAAACACTGCTTGGCCCATTCTCTTCTAGGCTAATTCTCACGTATTAATTTAGCCCATTTCTAATCATCTGTGTATGGCACCCCAAGGTGCGCTTACCAGGAAGATTCTAGCCTATGTCCATCCTGGGTCAGAGCTTCATCCCGGGAGCGGGGCATGGCGTCTCTCTCAGGCGTCTGCTCCCGAGAGGAGAGCTGTTGAGTCTCTGAGCTCACTTCCTCTTCCTCCCGGCATTCTGTTCTGTTTACTCCACCTACCTACGTCCTAACCAATAAAATGGGCCAAGGCAGTTCCTTTATTAGCCAATGACCTTCCTCCATCATTTCCCCTTTTTCGGTTTAAACAAAAAAAAAGGCTTTAACTTTAACATAGCAAAATTACATATAACAATTATCAAGTAAAAGTTACAATAATCTTTATCATAACTAAGGAAAACTATAACTATAACTAACTATTCTTAACTCCATCAAAGACTCCAGAAAGATACACTACTACCTAAGCAAACAAGAAAAAGCAACTTTTAAAACTCTAGAAATGACAGAGACATCTCGCTGCCTGGACAGTCACCCAAAATTCCTCTGTATCGTTGGGGCATCCATCTTCAGCCTTCAGGCCCATGGTATCCAGCAGACATTTCCATAAAGCAGGAAAATTCAAAGTAAGTTCAGTCACTATCTGTTGTGTCCTGCAGAATGTCTCGCAGACTCTTTCATGAATCAGGAACCCCGAAAGATCATCTCACCTTAGGCAAGTTCAGTAGTCCTCTCTCTGTGGGTTCTCTGTGTCCAGTTTATGCAATAGTCCAGGCAAGAGTAGTTTCTTGCCCAAATGGCTATCAAACTCCATAAGGTGCCTCTTCGATGCCCATCTTCCTCTTGAAGTACATTGGTGCTGTCAGGAGCAGAGTGTCTCATTGTCATGAAAAGTCCTCAGTTATTAAAACATTAAATGTCCTATTCTGTAATCTTTGAAAGACATGAAGAATGTCTATCTAAAATATATCTCTATATATCTAGAAAATCTAACTAACATGACTACAAGCTTTACTATTATTGATGATTATCCATTAACAACCTATATTTCTTAATTATACAGTACATATTTAAATGAACTATACAATCACAATACCTTAATCAAAATCAGAAACACTTATATATATAACAAAATTGACCGTAAATCTCTATCAATAAAGCAAAATCTATACTAATGTAAATTATTCATATCTATATCATATCCCCCTTTAAATATAAAAGAACGTTTATAAACCATATTTGGGAACATGGGCGCAGTTTTTTCTCTCCAAACTGCTTCCTGCTGAATGGGGGCGTCGTTAATTAGGTCTTTCATGGTATAACCTGTGTGCTAGTTTCATCTCAGTTGGCAGTTGAGCGAAGCAATTTTTTGAAGGCGTGCACAGGAACCATTCAGGAGGATGTGGTCCATCATACCAAATCGGAATAGAAGAAATGAATAGCGTCTCATCCTCTGTGAAAACAAAATAAGAAACTCCTTTCCAAAGTATCATATCCTTAGATCCAAATTCAAAATATCTATGTTGGATTAGTTCAGCAGTATTCATAAATAAATATCTTTTAGCAGCTGTTGCTCCTTCCTCAGCATTCAAATAATTCAAAGAGAGCATAATAGCATACAGTATCAAGATTCTCTGTGTATTTTCCATCTTTGTGCAGCTTTGTTTTAACCTCTATTTTGTTTATTTTTACTTTTAACTCTTTGCTTTTTGAGACAGGTTCTCTGTATCTTTGACCTGAAGTAACTCTGTAGACCAGGCTGTCTTTGAACTCTCAGAGATCCGCCTGTCTCTGCCTCCCAGGCATTGGGATTAAAGGTGTACACTACTACACCTTGAACTCACAGAGATCTGTTTGCCTCTGCCTTCTAGGCACTGGGATTAAAGGCGTGTGTTACCACACACAACAACTCTCTTCCTTTTTTTGTTTTTTACTTTAAGAACTTTAAATTTTAGTCTGCATATATTTTTAACACACTTCAAACCATTTAGAAATTTTCTCTGTCTTTGAATCTCTCTTTACTGTATATCTCTCTTTTTCTGACCACATGAATCTTTAATTTACCAAGCAATCTCAGTAGGACTAAAGGCGTGGCTTTGCCAGCTAGATTCAGTCCATTCCTTAGCTTTCCAGCCTCATGGCGGATATACAGGCTGTAGCCATGTTTACTGCAACAACTGTATGGCATTTCAAGGTCCCTGCCAGCAAGCGAGCTTCAGCAGCCTGTGCTTGCAAACCGCACGAACCGCCTACGTAAAAGAGTCAGAGTTTGCCCTGGCAGGAGAGCTCAGAAAGCCGGCGTTTTTAAACGGCGCAGCTTTTTTCCTGCTACGGCTGAAAACCAAAAAGCATGCGTTCAGCTTTTCATCAACACCATTTAAGTGTTTCGTGGCAGGACCTCTTAATGAGCTGCAGGGTTTTGCAGCTAAAGCTGAGTCAGGAAGCCTCTCTTAGATGAAAGCGCATGCTTGCCTCTAACAAGCAGAGCAGACCCGAGAACACAGCGAGTCTAGTTGCCATCAAACAAATTGTAGCACTTTACTCCAAATGCTCTATTCAAAAGCTCTGTCTCCCGCAGGAGCCAGACAGAGATCGCAATGGCGGCACAGCCCCAGGAAGTCGCGCTTTAAAATGACACAGCGTTTTTTCTGCTACTGTTGCCGAATCAGGAAATCTCTCTACAGCACCCCACCAACAGCAAAAATCTGTGTTAAACTCTCTCTCCCTTATTTTTAAGCCTTCTCAGGTTTTTTAAGTGGGTTTAGTCCATCACGTGGGGCGCCAACTGTAGTAATAAAGGCGGTGGGGCTGCGTCCCCAACACCCCAGCCGCCTGCCCGGCTAGCTTATGCCCCGAAATAATTACATGGACACTGTATTCTTTTAAACACTGCTTGGCCCATTCTCTTCTAGGCTAATTCTCACATATTAATTTAGCCCATTTCTGATCATCTGTGTATGGCACCCCAAGGTGCGCTTACCAGGAAGATTCTAGCCTATGTCCATCCTGGGTCAGAGCTTCATCCTGGGAGCGGGGCATGGCGTCTCTCTCAGGCGTCTGCTCCCGAGAGGAGAGCTGTTGAGTCTCTGAGCTCACTTCCTCTTCCTCCCGGCATTCTGTTCTGTTTACTCCACCTACCTACGTCCTAACCAATAAAATGGGCCAAGGCAGTTCCTTTATTAGCCAATGACCTTCCTCCATCACCAAGCCTCATAGCTAAACAAACATCACAGTTTCACAGCTTTGAAACTGCATTCCCAGAGTAAATAGGATTCTGTATATGTTCATGCATGTAGAGTTTATGTTGCTGTTTAACTGCCCCTTTGTGTACGATGGTCACTGGAAATATCGACCTTTTGTGTGTGTGGTGTGGTGTTGAGGATCAAACTCAGGACCTCACGAGCACCGGGTTGGTGCTGTGCCAGTGAGTGCCATCCCCAATGTCTGACATTGACTCCTCATTGAAATGTATTGTTTTCATTTAAAAGTGTGAGTCAATAGAGCTGGAACTGATCAGCAGCTCTCTAATCCTGAGAGAGATGTGTCAGGCCATCAGAAAGGACCCTGGGCCTAGGCAGGCCCGCTGCCTCTGTGGTCCACTCCATCTGAGCATACCCTCTGTCTTAGACATGTTCTATCGCTGTGCTAAAACACCATGGCCAAAGGCAACTTACAGAAGGAAGGGTTTATTGTGGCTCACAGTTCCAGAGGGAGAGTCCGTCCTAGTGGGAGCTTTGGCTGCTTGCTCCAGACATGCCAGCAAAGCGGGAAGCTGAGCCTTCATTCGTACTCAGAAGCAGAGTGAACTGGAAGTGGGGTGAAGCTGTATACCCTCAGAGCTCACCCCCACTCATATACCCCCACTTCCGAAGGCTCCATAAACTCCCAAACACATCTCGTATCGAGGAACAAGTGTTCAGAACCCGAGCCTCTGGAGGGTGTCCTCATTGAAACCACCACAGCCTTTAGTAGCTTCTCTCTTCTTACAGAGAACAAAGAAACCGAAGACAGCCGAGTGTGTCTCCAAGGCGGGTGTTGCAGATGGTAAGATGCAAAGAGATTGGGGTGTGGGCTGTGTCCCATGTCACCAGGGCCTAGTTCTGCTTTGACTCAAGGTTTGTTTTGCTGACTTTGTCTTTTATAGACTCTGCAGGACCATCCAAAGTGAAGGCTGGCAAGCCTGAAGAGGCGGACCCCGATCATAGAGAGAAGAAAAACAACTTGGCTTCCAGGGACACAGGTGGGTCTTACTGAGCCAGCAAAGACCTGAGAAAGTTGGGAAGCCAGAGCCAAGGGATGAGAAAACTTGGGCTTTTCCCAGTAATTTATAGGGGGTTTCCTGTGTCCTCTGAATTAAAATGTAGCCTCACGTTCCAGTCTGGAGCCCTGCTGGCCCGAAAGATTCTGGACACAAATCCTTTTTCTTACTGCTGAGCGAGGTTATAGTACCACAGCAGGCAGCCACATAGAGACACGCTGTGTGGAGGGCTCCCGGCGCTCAGAATCTTCCTAGGCTCCCTCATCCCTGTGTTCCATCATAGAAATGTCCTCTCTCCACCTGCCTCATGGCCAAGTGCAAGAGCTGCTCCAAAACTCAGTGTCTTTACAACAGGCTGGTAGCAGAGGCAGGGTCAACCCCAGGGCCAGCCCAGCCCAGGTTATGTGGTGAGTTCCAGGCCAGCCAGGGCTATGCACTTAGTCTATCTCTTTCTGTGTGTGTGTGTGTGTGTGTGTGTCTGTCTGTCTGTCTGTCTGTCTGTCTCCTCTCTCTCTCTCTTCTCTCTCTCTCTTCTGGTTTTTCAACACAGGGTTTTTCTGTGTATCCCTGGCTGTCCTGGAACTCCCTTTGTAGACCAGGCTGGCCTCAAACTCAGATCTGCCTGCCTCTGTCTCCCAAGTGCTGGGATTATAGGTGTGCTCCACCACTGCCCAGCTAGACTATCTCAAAAAGAAAAAAGGGCTGGAAAGCTGTTTCAGCAGTTAAGAGCCAGTACTGTTCTTGTGGAGGACCCGAATTCTGTTCCCAGCACCCATATCTGACAGCTAACAACCACTTGTCACTCCATCTCCAGATCTGACACCCTCTCCTGGTCTCCACAGGCACATGTATGTATATGGCATAGATTCACACGTACACATACACAAACACATAAAGTGAAAAAGGGAAAGCAAAAAAAGGAAAATAAATATTTATGCTGTGTCTGGTGGCACAGGTCTGTGGTTCTAGCTACTCAGGAGCTGAGGCAGGAAGATAAAAAGTTTGAGCTCTGTGGTGGAGAACGTGTTTAGGATGGATGCTGAGCTCAATGGTGGAGAACCTGTTTAGGATGGATGCTAGTGGAGAACCTATTTCACATGGATGCTGAGCTCAGTGGTGGAGAACCTGTTTAGGATGGATGCTGAGCTCAGTGGTGGAGAACCTGTTTCACATGGATGCTGAGCTCAGTGGTGGAGAACCTGTTTAGGATGGATGCTGAGCTCAATGGTGGAGAACCTGTTTAGGATGGATGCTAGTGGAGAACCTGTTTCACATGGATGCTGAGCTCAGTGGTGGAGAACCTGTTTAGGATGGATGCTGAGCTCAGTGGTGGAGAACCTGTTTCACATGGATGCTGAGCTCAGTGTTGGAGAACCTGTTTAGGATGGATGCTGAGCTCAATGGTGGAGAACCTGTTTAGGATGGATGCTGAGCTCAATGGTGGAGAACCTGTTTAGGATGGATGCTGAGCTCAATGGTGGAGAACCTGTTTAGGATGGATGAGGTCCTGGGTTCATTGCCCAGCACTGCAAAGAAAACTAAGATCACAGTTATTTTACAAGAAGAAAAGCGCAGGGTTGTCAGGTAAAAGGCAGTGAGATGTCCCACATAAACAGTGGCCAGCGGGGCCCATCCTGGCCTTCTATCAGGACAGGCCACTGACATTCCTGGTCCCCTCTGTCTTTGTGCAGTACCACCTGAGAGGACTCAGCCTGAGTGCTGAGGAGCTGGGGACGGCTTGGTGCCAGCACACAGTGTTAGCAAGGCCTTGAGGGTTAGGGCTCTGTCGAGCTTGCAGGAGAGACTATCGAGAGTCTGTGCTTTAAGCCAGACATGTTAGCGTGGGACTGCTTGGGAGGCAGAGTCGGGAGAATGACCCCAAGTTCAAGGCCAGACTGGTCTACATAGTGAATTCTGAGTCAGCCAGGGCTATGTAGTGAGATTCTAAAATAATTAAGTTTATTTACTATATTGGTGTGGGAGGTCCTTCTGTCTGTGTGTTGCTTTTATTGGTTAATGAATAAAGAAACTGCCTTGGCCTATTGATAGAGAAGAACTTAGGTAGGCGGGAAAAACTAGACAAAATGCTAGGAGGAAGAAGGCAGAGTCAGAGAGACGCCATCGATCCACCGCAGGAGATAGACATGCTCAAACTTTACTGGTAGGCCATGACCTCGTGGTGATGCACAGATTACTAAAAATGGGTTAAGTTAGATCTAAGAATTAGTCAATAAAGAGTTAGAGCTAATGGGCCAAGCAGTGTTTTAATTAATACAGTTTCTGTGTGATTATTTCAGGTCTGGGCAGCTGGGAAGAACAAGTGTCTCCTTCTTTCGACACTCTATTGTGGGCAGGGAATGTAGCTCAGTTGGTAGAGCGCTTGTGGAATGTGCACAAAGCCCTGGGCTCTCTTAGCAGCACTGTGTAAAACGGCATGGCAGCTCATTCTCATAATCTCGCCCTCAGGAGATGGGGGCCAGAGGGTCAGAAAGAACTCAAGGCTGTCTTGGCTTCGCATTGAGTTTGAAGATGTCCTGGGCTGCATGAGACCCTGTCCCTATGCTTCAGCTTTTCTTTCCGTGTAGCAGCAAAATGCTGGGAGACTGGGGAAATGGGATGCATGACTTGTTCCCTTTAAAAGTTCAATGTTTGGCCCGGTGGTTGTGGTGCACACCTTTAATCTGGAGGCAGAGAATCTCTGTGAGTTCAAGGCCAACCTGGTCTACAGAGTGAGTTCCAGGACAGCCAGGGCTCTACAGAGAAACTGTGTCTCATAAAATAAAAACAAAACAAAAAAGTTGATGTTGGAGTGATCTTTAGTCCCAGCCTTACAGATTTTGTCTTTGTTTTCTAGCAACTAACGGGAAAGCTGGGAAAGCCCCATGCGGGGCCCTGAAGAGGTCCATCGCGAACAGTGACGAATCTGAAACCTACAAGTCCATCTTCACAAGCCACAGCTCTGCCAAGCGCTCCAAGGAAGAGTCTGCCCACTGGGTCACCCACACATCCTACTGCTTCTAAAGCAGGACCGCAACCCCTCCCCGCAGGGCTCCTCCCCTGTGGCCTGTGCCTCGCTGCCTGATGTGGCGCCATGTTATAAAGCTGTCCTCTCCGATCTTCGACCTGTGTGGTCACTCGCCACGAGGTGTGTGGGTCCCAGGGAGGGCGAGGAGCCTTGCAGCGTGACTACAGCCTCCCCACAGGCTGTACCTCTTGCTTGGCCTGGCAACTCTGCTCATTACATTGAAGTCGGCTCGTTTTCTAAAATTGTGATTGGTCAAGGAAGTAATGACACTGAGTTTAGCTTAGGACAGACTTCCAGCTGTCAGCCCTTGCTCCTGGTGGCTTCTTCTGATACGAGGACATCAAAGAAGAATCCAGACACCTGACTGAGTGGTACACAATAAAGCCCTTTCCTCTCGTCTCCTTTCTCCTCTCTCTTCCTCTTCTATCTTGGTAAGAAAATGACAGGCATCAGAGTGACAGGGGCAGACAGGAATGACACCTTTTCCACCTTCACAGTTGTAGTTGGAGCCTTTATAGACTGCTCACGGGAGCAGGACAGAACTGTGCCTGTGCTGGGCAGATGGCTCACTCAGAAGATAAGCACTTGCCACGCACACTTGGGCAAAATTTGGATCCCCAGAACCTTAAGCAGGTGAGCACCGTGGCCTGTGGTCCCAGCCCTTGTATGGCAGAGATGGGCCCACAGGCAAGGTGCCCACAGGCTCAAGGTTGAGGGAGAACCTGTCTTGGTAACCAGAATGCATTGCAGCTAAAATGCCCAGTGTCAGCCTTGGGCCTCACGTATGATGTGGGGTTCTCCCTGTATGCCTGCAGGCGTGCAAACTACAGAAACACTAAAGCCCCTACTCCCAAACCAAGTGTGGTAGCACTCTGTAATGGAAGCCCTCAGGCTGAGGCAGGAAGGTCACTGAAATGTCAAAGCTGGCCTAGGTTACTTAGCAAGATCTTGCCTTAGGAAACAACACAAAGATTAGCACCTACCTGCCCCACTGCCCCCTGGCCGGGAGGACACTTGAGGTTCAATCTGGGACAGTGTTAGGAGGATGTAAATGTGGGCAAACAGGATAGGCTGTGAAATGGACATTGTCGAAGAGAACCTGGGATGTGTGACCTTCATACTTAGAAACCAAACTAAAGATTGTAGAAATACTTGGGAGGTTTTGGATTTTGTTTTTGAGAGAGGGCCTCACCTTAGATCTGAGCTGACTGACCTCACACTGAAGGTCTTCCCGACTCAGCTTTCCAAGTGCTGGATTACAGCACATATCTAACATGAGGTTTTCACTGAGAATTAACCTGGACTGAGCATGTGGCTCATGAGTGTCTGCTGGGCACACGCAAAGCCCTGGGGTCCATCCCCAGCACCTCATAATCTAGGTCTGACAGGCAGGTGGATAAGAAGTTCGAGGCTATCCCTAGCAAGTTTTATGCAAGCCTGGAATACATGATACCATGTCTTAAAAAATAATGAATTTTTATTGTGTGCTTTTCCCAAACAAAGCTGAATTAGCTGTTTCATTTTTCTGAATTATTTGTAGTACAGTGAAAAACTATTTTAGAGGGTTTTTTTCTGTTAAATTCTCATAACAGGGCTGGAGAGATGGCTCGGAGGTTAAGAGCACTGGCCACTCTCCCAGTGGTCCTGAGTTCAATTCCCAACAACCACATGATAGCTCATAACCATCTATGAGATCTGGTGCCCTTTTCTGGCCTTGCAGACATACATGCAGGCAGAACACTGTATGCATAATTAATAAATCTTTTTTAAAACAATTCTCATAACATTCTCATCATTTGACTAGGGTTTTTTGTTTTGTTTTTGTTTTTTATCAAAAGTGGGCTTTTAATAAAAAAGAGGAAGCAGTGTCATTGAAGTAACATTTTTCTCTTATTTTCTCTTATTGTATCTCTACAAAGAAAACAGCCCCTTACGCCTGTTTTATTAATTACAGCCTTTAAGCTGTTTGATGACTTTTGAAAACCACTTTCACATTTCTCAGCCTTGAAACTTTGGTGTCTCCAGGCCTCTAGCCTCAGAACTTTCCACGGATTTCTTCCTGGGTTCTATGGCTCCTCCCTTGTCCTGCCCCAGAGGGGATCCTTGAGGTCCTATCCCAACCTGTGTGGTTAGGACAGACATGGCCTCCCTGAGGGCAGATGAGCAGCTTGTTGAGCTTCCGTGTGAGAAGCCCTGCTGCACCAGACTGAAGAGCCAGCCCCTCTCTGGGACCCTGGAGCTGAGCTCCACCCTCAGCTCCACCCACCACCCGAGTCCAGGACCTTTGCTGCCTGCCTGGCCTACCCCTGGTCCTGTGAACACAATGAGGGAAAGGGAATTCTGGGATTCCTCCCCTCAGGTACACGTCAAGGTTTCCAGATAGCTGAAATCCATCGTGCCAGCTGTGGTGAGCTGTGTCGTATGGAGCACATCTGGTGCAAATCAAGCCTGTCTTTCCACACGGTATCACCAAACAGCTACCAAATGCCAGAGCTGACTTCGAAAGCAGGCCCTGCAGACATGAACACCTCACCCCTGCAAAACCTTCACCACAGCAGTTTTCCAGGGCTTGCTCAGGGCTTGCCAAGGCGGAGCCTCCAAACAGGCAGCACTGAACCCCTGGCCCACAGCCGTAAGCGCCAGGGCCATCTACTCCTGGAGACTCTTGTAGCTATAACGATAGGAGCTCCGGGAGCATGCAGCCTAGTTCCTAACCCAGCAATAGGGCCTGCATCTCTCCAAACCTGAACTGGTAGGAGCCCCACAGAAGCCAAAGCTGGGCCCTAGGGGAATGTCCCTGTGGCTCACTTAGCCACTGGCCCCTTGACAGATGAGTCTATAGAACCTGTGTCATGGTTGGAGACAGCGAGAGTGTGAGCAGAAAGTCACCGTGTGTGTGTGTGTGTGTGTGTGTATGCGTGCACATGCGCACACACAGACGCATATGTGAGTACATGGAGGCCAGAGGTCAGCCTTGGGTACTGTCCCTCAGATGTGGTCCACTTGGATCATCTCTCACTGGCCCAGAACTCCGCAAGCACTTAGACTGGGTGGCCAGCAAGCCCACCTTGGCCTGTCCCTGCCTCCCCAGCCCTGCAATGGTAAGTGCACCCCGGCACCCAGCTTTCCTATCTGGGTGCTAAACTGGGCCCTTATGGTGATGTAGCAAACACTTAACCACTGAGCCATCTCCCAGCCCCTTGGGTGACAGTCGTAATGCCGATGGTGCAGGCCAAAGGAAAAATCCATGACCCCTAACCAGCAGTTGCGGCTAGTTATTGTTTCTTACTGGACCCAGCTCCATGGGGCACATTGTATCCGCTGCTCACCACAATATCTGGATCAAATGTAACAAAAAATAGATGATGGTCTCTCCTAACAGTGTGCCAAGCTCAGGAAGAAAAAAAAAACATTCTGGCAAGGAGACAGCTTCCTTGTCTTCTAGAAGTTTCTCCTCCCTGGAAGTCCCGCCAGGCAGGTTACTTGCCATGAACCTCAGTCTTCTCAAGCTGAAGAGAAGCCGGGTTGGCTTCATCACAATGGCCGGGTTGGTCAGCTCTGTGACATCACCAGGGCCCAACACTAGGTGCCCAGTCTCTCTGGCACCACAGCAGACAGGCCCACCATGAGCTGTTTTCCGCCCAGCCTCTGCTCACCATGCGGACGCTGAGATGGTTCCTGTTTCTGCCTCTGTGCATCTCTTGCACCTGCGCCTTCATATTTTCTCCGCTGAGGGAGAAAGCCAAAGAAAGCCCAGGGAAGGTGCCTTGTGGAGGACATTTCCGGGTTAGACAGAATCTTCCAGAGCACTCCCAAAGCTGGCTTGGGAGCAAATGGCTCTGGCTTTTCTTCGTCATTATGATATATGTGGTGCTGAAATTTCGAGGAGACAGCGAGAAGGATAAGGTAAATGGGTCTCAGGAACGCAGGTTCTGTCCCTTGGGGACAGCTAGGTGAATCTGCTCCCTCGATGACGATAGTAGTCACCACATCCACAGAGGATGGGACAGTCTGAGACGGCCTACTACACAGCTCACAGGGTTTCTGTGAAGTTTTATTTGTTCTCTCATGGTGTGTGTTGCATCAGCCCTGCTTACAGAGCCGGACGACTCCCAGACACACGCCCTGCGTGTTTCATGCACATTGCTTTTGATGCATCACAAATTTCTGACCCAAAGGAAATTTTATTTCAAGTGAAGGAAATTTGAGGCCCGTACTAGGATAGAGTAGTGACCCATGTTTCCCACAGTATCTCAGCAGCTCTTCAGGGATCAGAGGGACCGGTTCAGCCCTAAATGAGGCCAACATCTCAAGACACTGGCCAGGGGCTGGGAGATGGCTCAGTCTGAAAAGAGCTTGCCCTGCAACCTTGAGGACCTGAGTTCAATCCACAGCACCCACATAAAAGTCAGGCATGGGGGCACACATCTGTAAACCAAGAGCTGGGGAGGGAGGCAGGGACAGAAGGACCCTGTTAGACAGCAAGCCTAGCAGAATTCTGGAGTTCCAGATTCAGTGAGAGACCTTGTCTTAGGAAATAAAGAAGTGGTAGAGGAAGACGGCACCTTCCACACGCATGAACCCGTGTACATGTATGCCCATACACACGTCTACTATATACAACACATGACATTCTGGCTAGAGCAGAGGCTGCCTATCAGGGGCAGCTGGAAATCATTTTCAGCTCTGCAGGCCACATTGTCTCAGTGGCAGCCATATTGTCTCTGCCACTTGAGCCTGACAACAACCATAGCTGGTGTGCAAATAACTGAGCTTGGTTGTGTGCCAATAAAACTTTATTTACACAAACAAGTGGCAGGCCAATTTGGTCAGAGTTTGCAAACATCCAGACTAGGTTTGCCGTTGTGTTTCCTCTTAGGTGAGCCTAACTTCTGGAGCGGTGTAGGAGCCATTGGGGCCACTGGGATCATTCACCCTCACTTCTCCCACTTCTCTCTCGACAGGAACAGAATCCTACTGGCCTTCGAAGCTGTCAATTTCGCTCTCCACCGAAGAAAAATCAAAGTATTTCCCCCAGCAAAGATTTTACTTTCAATACTTTAACCCAGCTTGAGATAGAACTGGTGAAATTTGTGTCCAAGGTGCGGAATCTTAAAGTCTCCATGGCAGCCAGCAGTAGCTCCAGGCAGGCAGAGATATCCATGGACCCACGCAATAACGTCACGATATATGAGATATGGGGAGAGGAGGACTCTGAGTGAATGGGACTTTTATCAAAGTGTGAGAGATAAGCCAAGTGTTGGCACTGTATCCAAATAATAAAGACTATTCTGAACAAAGAGCCCCCACGTGAGATCCTTCTCCCCCCCCACCACCATTTTGGTTTGGGGTTTGTTTTTTGGTTTGATGATTCACTGATTTTTCGAGATAGGGTTTACTCTGTAAAACAGTCCTGGCTGTCTCGGAACCCACTCTGTAGACCAGGCTGACGTCGAATTTACAGAGATCTGCCTGCCTCTGCCTCCCAAGGGCTGGGATTAAAGGCGTGTGCCACCTCTGCCCGGCTTCCCCTTTTGTTAGGATGGCAGGTCCCAGTAGCCCTGGGAGCCATTACTGTTTCCCCTTTCTCCAGTCCTCCACAGTCCCTGCACAAGGGCCTCCTAATGCAGGTCTCTGGGCCTGGGGTCGGCCAGGCTCTGGCGCAGGTGCAGACATCCTGTTCCCGTGCACACTTGGTTTCTCTGTACTATCTGCAAACACCTGGTTCCACATGATTCATTCCAATACGGACTCTAACTTTAATTATGGGTTTTTAATGATGGTGATTCAGTCAGGAGAGAGTTCTCGAATCATCTGCTATTCTGACAGAATAATCTTTTTATTCAATTCCATCCCACAGACCTGAGGTGTTGCAAGCTTCTTTTCTTCTTCTAGTAAACTGGTGATGGCTCACGTGATAGCTGGATTTGTAGAGAAACAGCTGGGTGTAACAGCCTATGTCTTTAGTTCTAATGCTGGGTTAGGGGCGAGCACTTGAACAAGGGTCTCAAGTTCAAGCTCAGCGGGGTAGGTTTAGGGATGCGAGGAGCTGCCATCTGTGACTTTGGGTTTAAGACACAAACTAAACAAGGCTTGTCTTTTTTAAATGTACTTCTATTTGTACCTGCTTGTCAGTATGTATACCATAGGCATGCAGGAGCCCTCAGAGGGCAGAAGAGGGCACCAGATCCCTGGGAATGGCAGGTGGATGTGAGCCTCCTTGTGAATGCCCAGCTGAGCCAGCTTTTGCTTACTGTAGCCTCCGGGATGCCACCCAGCAGTGAGGAATCCAGGCAAAGGAATGGTAATCTTGAGAGGGCTAATGGTTTGAATGTCCCATTCCGGGCAGACTTTAGATGTCCTCCCGCCAATTGCCACAGCCACCACACCTGCCAAGGTACACAACTCCTCTGCCAAATCTGGCCTGCCGTCTGGTTTTGTGTGTGGCTTTGGAAGCTATTCATTGCCTTTATAGTTTTAAGTGGTTGGAAAAAAAATCAGAGCTATAAATAATCCCTTGTGACATGAAAATGACATGCCAGTGTCCAAGCCTTCCCCAGAGCCCCAGAGCCCAGCCACACCGGCTAACTGAAATGCCACTGGTGGCTGCTTCGGTGCCACCAGGGCAGGCAGAACGACGGCAGCAGAATGGAGCCCTTGTCGGAGAGAGCTTGCTCCAACCTGTGCCCCGTGGGTGATGGCGACACATGCCATCTACAGCCTTCCCCGAGAGGGGTTCAGGAAAGACGCCCTGGTGGCCCTTGGGAAGGCAACAAATGTGGAGAGACATGTCAAGTGGCGGGCGGCGGACAGCCCCGAGGGTCCGAGGGGTCCCCAATTCACAGAAAGAAAACAGGGCTCTCACCACTCAACCAGGGATGGATCCACCAGTCAGGACCTGGAAGAAGGAGCAGAGCCTTGAGTGACGTGCTGATGCTGGTACCTGCCGAAGACTTGGGGACCTTTCGTAGGGAACCTCTGACTTGTGGGTAGCCCCTGCCCCCTGAGAGAACTGTCGTTGGAAACCATAACATAACAATAGAAAACAAGTCTGATCTCTGGGTACATGCAACAGGCTGCTTCTGATACATTGCATGGCACATTTAACCCCGCCTTTCTCCCGGTCCTCAAGCCATAGAAATGGGGCCATAGAAATAAGTAGTTGAGGACCAAGTATGAGAAACTATTCCTTGAAGCCAAGGTCACAAACCGCTCAGACAAGTCCTCGACCCACTGCAGTTTGCTCGTTGTTCTGAAATATTACAGATCTTGGAGCTGGGCTGCCTCTTGAGTGTTTGCCTGGCATGTGTGAATGGGGCTTGATCCCCAGGGCTCTGATACGGACAGGTGCCACAGAGGGCTACACACAGGCAGGTTCTGTGTGGACTCACATTCTCATTCCTTGGCAGAGATGCTCAAGGGCACCGGCTGAGTCACATGACTAGCCTTTGGTCTGGTATATTCGTTTTGCTGTTTTTGAGACAAGGGCTCACTCTGTAGGCCATGCTGGCCTTGAACTCACCGTGATCTCCCTACCTGCCCCCCAAGTGATGGGACTAAAGATGTGCATAACCACACCTGGCCAGTATAATTTTTTTAAAACCTTTGAGCTCATGGTGAACGTTTTAGAAGCAGTTTCTGTAGCACGAATAATAAAACCCAGAGTCAGATACTGGGGTTCAACCTGAAAGCCAGATAAGCAAAGCAAGCCAGCCACTAACTAGAGAAGTCTTCCCTCTGCCAAGGCTGGGCGACCGCAGCCTAAGCCTCTCTCTCCTCCCATTTTCTATTCCCTCTAGTGCTAGGATTAAAGGTGTGTGACTCCCTAGTACTGGGATTAAAGGTATGAGCCAAAATCACCTTGATTTATTTCTGCACTGATTTTTTTTTCTTCTTAATTTTTTTTTAATTATTTATTAAAGATTTCTGCCTCCTCCCTGCCACAGCCTCCCATTTCCCTCCCCCTCCCCCGGTCAAGTCCCCCTCCCTCGTCAGCCCAAAGAGCAATCAGGGTTCCCTGCCCTGTGGGAAGTCCAAGGACCACCCACCTCCATCCAGGTCTAGTAAGGTGAGCTTCCAAACTGCCTAGGCTCCCACAAAGCCAGTACGTTTCTGCACTGATTTTGTGTAGCCCAGGGTGACCTTGAGCTCACAAAGATCCACCTGCCTCTGTCTCCCAAATCCTGGGGTTAAAGGTGTGTGCCACCACTGCCTGGCCTCTAGTGGCTTAGTTATGCTCTCTGATTTTCAGGCAAGCTTTATGTATTAAAACATAAATAAAATACCAGTATAAATTTCACATTATGCTGTAGTGTATTCTCAGGGAAGCAGACAACAAAACAGCGAACAAAGCCGGGTGGTGGAGGTGCACACATTTAATCCCAGCATTTGGAAGGCAGAAGCAAGTGAATCTCTGTGAGTTCAAGGCCAGCCTAGTCTACAAAGTGAGTTCCAGGACAGCCAGGGCTGTTACACAGAGAAACAAACTGTGTCTCAAAAAACCAGCCGGGCGGTGGTGGCGCACGCCTTTAATCCCAGCACTCGGGAGGCAGAGGCAGGCGGATCTCTGTGAGTTCGAGACCAGCCTGGTCTACAAGAGCTAGTTCCAGGACAGGCTCCAAAACCACAGAAAAACCCTGTCTCGAAAAACCAAAAAAAAAAAAAAAAAAAAAAACCAAAATAACAACAACAACAGAAACCAATAAATAACTATAATATTCAAATTACAATATGCAAATTGTTTTAGTGTGGGAGGTTTCCCATCCGGATTTAACTCTCAGTTTTCTCTCACTGGCTGCAGATATCATCGCGGCCCATGTCCCCTCCTGAGAGGCCCCGAGGGACTCTGGTCTCCTAGCTCTGAGACCAGTCTCCTCCTGACTATGCTCAGCCAAGCTCGTTTCTGCTGTAGGACTTTTGTATCATCTCCCCATCCCCAGGCTTTTCTACAGCTGACCTGGCTGCCATTCTGGGCTCCACTCAGCTGCCAGTCCCAATGAACACTCCTGGAGTGCCGGGAAGAAGCCCCTCTGCCTCTCTGCACACCAGCCTGCTCTGCAGACGCTTCCTCAGGACCCCTTCTTGTTTGCCCGTTCCCTCTACAGGCAAGCGTGGCGATGCTCTGACACATAACAGGGATTGTGTCTCAGGTCCTCATCTTCCCCTTAGCACCCAGTTCCAGAAAAAGTGACAGGGATCGTCTGTGGGTGGGTTGGGATGGTTGGAACTCCCAAAGTGACCAGGGATCATCTGTGGGTGGGTTGGGATGGTTGGGACTCCCAAAGTGACAGGGATCGTCTGTGGGTGGGTTGGGATGGTTGGGACTCCCAAAGTGACCAGCGATCGTCTGTGGGTGGGTTGGGATGGTTGGGACTCCCAAAGTGACCAGGGATTGTCTGTGGGTGGGTTGGGATGGTTGGGACTCCCAAAGTGACAGGGATCGTCTGTGGGTGGGTTGGGATGGTTGGGACTCCCAAAGTGACCAGGGATCGTCTGTGAGTGGGTTGGGATGGCTCAGCAGGAGCGTTGAGACTGAGGGTGAAACTCCATGACTTTCTCTCAAGAAAAGGGGAGCTCTGGGTGGGGGGAGATGGCCAACGGTCATGCTAGAGAGAAGCCACCATAAAACCTATGGGTGTGTTCGCTGTGCAGCGGCTCCCTCTGGCTGTGTCTCCCTTCCATCTTGGACCCCACTTCTATCTGGCTCTGCTGACTGTCTATGTACTTAGTCGAGTGAGGTCATGAGGGCTGTTACCAAGGCTCCAGGAGTCAAAGATTTGGCAAAGGTGCCTCTCTTTCCTCGGTCCAATCTCTCCTCTCTCCCCCCCCATGGCTTCCCAGGCACAGCCCTGAGGAGGGTAGCTAGTCCCTGCGGTTTATTTTCCATTTTCCATTCTTTGTCTTTTTCTTTTGCTCTGACCGGTGTGTCTTTCACATGCTTTGGTCCTCCATTGGATGCCCGTGTCTTTCCCTTCTCAGTTTTCTAAGAACACATCTCATTTTTCCAGCCAGCTTTGGGACAGCGTGTGTGTGTGCAGGTTGCATCTGAATGTCCCACCATGCCCGTCTATGGGGAATCCCAGGGAGTTTCTAATCATTTGTAATCACAAGCACCTTGTACACAGCTGGAGCAGTTGAGGATGCAATGCTCAGGCAGCCTCTTGCAGGTGCGTTGCTGAGGGGAGAGGGAACACATTTCCACATCACCTCTAGAGAGGAGGTT